TCTTGGAGGTAAGGCATGTAGCATGAGTAAAAACAATTCTGGCCGGGCGCAGTGGCTCACTCCTGTAACCCCAACACTTTGGTAGGCCAAGGCAGGCAGATCACCTGAGGTCAGGAATTCAAGACCAGCCTGTCCAACATGGTAAAACGCTGTTTCTACTAATAATACAAAATATTAGCTGGGTGTGGTGGCAGGAGCCTTTAATCCCAGCTACTTGGGAAGCTGAGGTATGAGAACTGCTTGAACCTGGGAGGCAGAGGTTGCAGTGAGCCGAAACCATGCCATTGCACTCCAGCCTGGGCAACAAGAATGAAATTCAGTCTCAAAAAAAAAAAAAAATTCTGAAAGAGGTGGGAGTGTTTGTTGTACCAGTGTTCGTATTTCATTGCTTCAAAAGACTTTAAAAGAGCAAAGGTTACTTAAAACACTACCACATACTGACACAGAGTCTGTTTTTGAGGACTCCTTGCACAAAGCTGACTTTGCAATGTTTTCAGTTGAACAGCTCAAATGTCATTTGATTTCACACATTCCAGTTTGAATTTTTTAACTTATTCTATTTGGTTTTCATCTTGAAAGAGTTATAACAACCTTAGGTCAAAATATTTAAGGTTCTTACCTAGGCCCAGAAAGTAATCTTTAAAAAATGTAGCTAATGGCAGTGGCTGGATCCCAGCGACTCTTGCTGTGAGTCTGCAGTGACTGTGCTTTTTCTGGCTGAGCCTATGGCTTACCTGGGATTGGATCAGAGGCTGGAACAGCCAGGAAAAAAATAATGGCAGCTCCAAATGCCAGACCCACACCCCAGCTGTGCTCAACCCTTGGCTAATCACCAAACCTTCTTTATGACCACAAAAGATGTCCTAGTTTTTAATATATTAAAAATATTTCAAGACACATCTGTTAGTGCTACATAGTTTTAGTAGCCAAAATTAACAATCACAAGTCATTGCTTTTATTTAGATGAAGGGGCAAAACAAAAGGGATTCTACACTCCAGCTAATTTTTTCAAAGTCCTTTTATCCAACTATCTATTAGAGAAAAACAGTTGCCTTACTTCTGAGGTGAGGGATCTAGACTGCCCCTGCCCTCTGCCACTTGTGCAATGGCCACATGCATGGGTGTTGAAGAGAGCAAAGGTTAGCACCTGCCATTCCCTGGGGGCCAGCAGACACTTTTCTTCCAGATCACATGCAGTGTGAGGGAGGAGGAGGAGGGCACTCATACCATTATGGGAGTCTGCAGGAGGCACAAAAATACTCCTCCTTCGTGGCTTTCTTATCTACTTGGGAACATAGAGAGGAACACAGCAGAATTTAGGTACCTTCACTGATACCACCTGCTCCACCAAAAGAGGATGCTAGGGAAGTGCTATTACCATCTCCATTTCATTAGGAGGATACTGAGTTGAGAGAGATTACAGGTAGAGTCTGAACAGCAAATCACACTGAAAGACACACACCTTTCTCTCTGGTGCGTTGTTTTGTTTTCCTGTTAGATAAACTAAACTGTGAGGCCCAAACCATTGAGAGTTAAACCCCACAGACTGCATGTAATATTTTAAAGCAAGCACATGGAAATGTCCACTACATTTTTCAGGTACCCAGCACATCAACATCTGTGTAGACAATTCACTCTTCCTGTGATTAAGAGCAGAAACAGAAATACAGATTTCCAATGTGTGTTTGTTGAATGAGGACTGAGTGAACAAAAGAATGAATGGATTATGGGAGTCTTGGTTACAGATTCTAAATCCCCTCTCATTATTATACGTTGACAGTTCCCCTTTCAAGAGTTCTTTTGAGGGCTGGCAGAGAAAGTGGCACATTCATCAGAATTAAGGAAGGCCTCCTAGCTTGGTCAGGTCCACTTCTCACTGTAGTCTCAATAAACCTTACGGTTGAAAAAAGAACCCCTGATCATCAGAGTCACCTAAACCAAGTGCAAGGGGACACATGCTTTTGTATAGGACATTAGGTTTGTTTTAAGAGTGAGTGATGTTTTCTGCCCTTTTGGCTCCCTGTATGTCCACTCACACATTTGATGGGCATGGAACATGAGCTGTAAATCAGCTTGTCTCCCCACAGCAGGAAGACCACCTTCCCTCCACCCTGACTTCCACCCCAAATGGTACAAAGAAGCTGCCAGAGGGGAATGAGAAGTTCTGTGCAGGAGTGGAAAGGGGTGCCCTCTAAGCACAGCTCCTGTCTTTGGTTTTTCCTGAACCCAAAGAAGTGCTTCTGTGGTTCGAGACAGTGTATTGATGATGCAGGGACAGTGGACTGCATGGATCTGACCATCCATGTGGCTCCCCTTGCCTGCTACACTTTTTGCCTGTATTTGGGCTGTCATCACATTTACAGTTAGTCCCCAATTGTCCCATGGTTGTGCTCAGAGGTTTGTACAAAAGTTAATAATTTTAAATATAAGATTCAATTCATTAAATTCAGAATGAATGCTTTCCTCCTCAGAAATAATTTTATGTTTCCTTCATGAAAGACAGAGGGTTGGGGGCGGTAGCACCATGGAGGAGGTGGCATCTGAGGTGGAGAAACTCAGGGTGGGAAAGGATGGCAGGAAGTCCAGGGGCTGTGGAGGATGCTGCCTGCCACAGAGAAGTGACTGTGACTCCAACACATGGCACCTCTGGAGCCCAACCATTTAGCATGATTTCTATGCTACAAAGAGTTCTAGGTTCTGACTTTGACTACATCTCCCTCTGCTACAGACCTGGCCGTGGGAAAGGCTAACGTCCACCATGCAGTAGGACAGTGGCATCGTCTGGCTGAGAGCTGGCCACTCTAGTGGCAAAGGTAGGTGAGGGTTCAGGAGCAGCCTTCAGAGTCTCCAGACAGTGGAGGTGAGCCATGACCTAAGCACAAAAGGTGGGGTGTCAGGAGAGGGTTCCAGGCAGGGACCAGGGCCAGAGGGGAGGGGAGGGTGGCCCAGCTGTGTAGAGGATGCAGACAGCAAGATGGGACGCTGAGAGGCAAGTGGGACTGGGCTATGGGCATGAGAGCCCTTGGAAACACCAGGGAACACAGTGTGCACGTAAGTACCTCCTTCGCACTGTTCATCTTTCAAGCACATCATTTACACAGTCAAACATTAGCTGAGTAATCACAAACTCCACGAGTGGGGTCCCAATGTTTGGGGTTTTACTGAGTTTCAAATGGACCAGAAAGAACAGCCTGCCTAATGACAACCGCTAATGCAGTTTGATTTTCTGAGCCATTATGAAGAATTTTCACACACTAAATAGAGAAATGGTTTTCAGTCAATTACAGCTTTTCAGGAAAACAGACAACATAATATACTACCTACAATAAATAAAAATAACTAAAAGATGTAATAAACAAAAGGAGTGATACATCTAGCATCGTGGTAATTTTTGAAAAGGAAACAAATGCAAGTCTTTAAGTCTTCAAGATAAGCACTGTACCTCAGGTGAAAATGAAGAAAATCAAGACGAATGTCTCACCAGGTGCAAAAACCATCTGGTTTATTGATTTATTTTTGGCAGAAGTCTTAGGTTCCTAAAGAGAATAAACCCTAATTACTTTTAGGGTTTGTTGATAGTCTTGTTTCTGATGGTAGCAGGGCACAAGTCAAGAGAGCTAGCCTGGCAGCCATTCATCTGGAAAACATCTTGGGCTATAACAAGCTTAATTCAAGTCCAAGATGTGATACAGATGCTATAAAAGGCCCAGCCATCCCAGTCACCCCAGATGAGATCCAGCTATGTGAATGTGGCCTTCTTGATGTTCCAGGACCAGTAAGCTCCCAGCAGAAGAAGATCTCTTGAATGATCCCAGCCAACAGTGTGTGGAGCAGGAAAACCACCTGGTTGAGCCCAGCTAACCCACAGAACCACGAGAAATGAGAAGTCATTATTTTAAGCCACTAGTTTTGCAGCGGTTTGTTATACAGCAATAGGTGACTGAAACAGCCACTAAAGGGAGCCATAGTTTGTGCTATCTGACAATACCTTCCTGGACAAAGTAGATTAAAGCAGCGGGAAAACCTGATCCAAGGACACTTAATACAAGAGGAGGTTTATCAGGACCACTGGTCTGGAGCTAAAAGGCTAGGCTGAGCTAGGAAATACAAATCAATTGAGTACTTGAAATAAATGCTTAGAAGATATGGTAAAGAACAGACCTAGGCCAGGGCAAGTTATAAAGCAGCGGAAACTCTGAACAGAATGAGCCAGTCAGCAGAGGAAGAAGAACAGAGAAGACGCAGAAAGATAAGCAGAAAGACCCCTGGCCCCACAGAGTGGAGCAGCTACCAGGTTTTCGGACAGCTTGCTATTGTCACTGGACTGCAGTTTCCGGTCTGCAAGTTCCCTGAGGTCCCTGTCCCCCTCATGATCCCTTGTGAGAGCCAGCATCTATGACCACTCCCCTGTGAGCTGGCCTGAGTGAGTTTCTACTCGTGGTAACCAAAACAGACCAATGAAAACAGGACTCTTCCAGTATGAGCTTCTACCATTTTAGGAATGGCAATGAATCGACACAGTGAAAATTACCACCAGTACAGTGAATATTTTAGCAACTGGAAAATAAAGGTAGAGGAAGTCTTGATTAAGTTGGTGGACTGAAAATGCATTACAGAATTTCCATTCCACATTCCTGATGAAATGAGCAAAAATAAAGCCAAGCAAAAAACCACAAACGGCAACCAAACTAAGAAAAGGGTATAACATCATTCTATAAACTAAAACTCACAGAAGACATGTTGGCAAGTCACAGAAGTCCTGAAAATTCTATCTCAAATACAACAGACCAGAGAAATGCAAAGTGAGTGAATGTTCTTCTCTCTGTTTCATGGAATAGCAGATGGGGCAGAGGGTAAGAAGAAAGAAATGACTGAAGAAAAGTTGGAAACGTGGCTTGCATACCATTAGAAAATATAACAATATGAAAATTAGGCCAAAAAAAAAAAAAAATCAAAGGCCTCTAAGTGTTCAAGTGAACAAAAGAGTTGCACTTGAAATCAAAAACTAGAAATAATGAAGCTTACTGAGGAAGGCCAAGTTCAAGTCAAAAGACAAGATGAACCAAAAGCTAGGCCTCTTGCAGCAAGGAACAATCTGGCCCGGCACAGTGCACTGCCTGCAGTGTCCACGTGCAGTGCAGGAGAGAGGAACCCAAATAGAGCCCAGCAGTCCCACTGGGGTGAGAAAACAGTGTGGAGTTCACGGAGCCTACAGTGGCTAGAATATGAGGGGCCGAAAAGTGGAGAGGAAGGAACTCGAAAACAGATATTGTGAATATACGACATGTCTTCAAGATGGTAGAGGATATGATCAGTATGAACAGAAATACGAGAAATTTGAAATTAAAAATAAAACTGAATAGGATTAATGGCAGATGAGATATTACAGAATCAGAAGCACTGCTTAAAAATACAGTAATATTGCTTGATATAGCAATATAGCAATAACAATTATCAAGAATTAAAAAAGAAAACAAGAAATGGCTGAGTGCAGTGGTTCACATCTGTAATTCCAACACCTTGGGAGGCTGAAGTGGGAGGATTGTTTGAGGCCAGGAGTTTGAAACCAGCCTGGGGAATGTGGCAAAATCTAGTCTCTACAAAAAACGTAAAAATTAGCCAGGCATGGTAGCACATGCCTGTGGTCCCAGCTACTCAGGAGGCTGAGATGAGAGGATCATTTCAGCTCAGAAGGTTGAGGCTGCAACGAGTAATGTCCATGCTATTGTACTCCAGCTTGGGCAAGAGTGAGATCTGGTCTCAAAAAAAAAATTTTTTTTTTAACCACAGAAAAGACTTAAAAACAAATGAATAAGCATCTGTGATTGTGGAATAATATCAAGCAGTATATTTATACATACAATTGGAGTTACAGAAGGAGACAGTAGAAAGGGTAAGACAGCAAGAAATTTCAGGAAATAATCACCAGAAAGTTTTCAAATTTGATAAAAACTATAAATCCACATGTCTAAAAATCTCAACAAACCCCAAACAGAAGAAACATAAAGAAAACCACATCAGAGTCTGTCATATATTTTTTTAAAAACTCACATACACACAGAGATGCTCAACCCCCATCCACCTACTGGAATGACAAAACTGACAATTCCAAGTGTTGCCAAGGATGTGGAGCAACTGAAACCCTTGTAACACTACGGCGAAATGCAAAACGGAACATCAATTTTTTTTTAAAGCAGTATGGCAGTTTCTTATAAAGTCTCACACACGCTTGCCCTGTGACCCAGAAATCCCACTCATATTTACCCAAGAAAAATAAAAATATATGTCCATACAAAGACTGATATGTGAATGTTCATTGCAGCTTTATTTATAATAGCTAAACATTGGAAACAACTCAAATGTCCATAAATTGGTGCATGTATAAACAAAATGTGTTATATCCATAAAACAGAATACTATTTAGCAATAAAAAGGAATGGAGTACTGAAACCTACATTAACTTATATGACTCAAAGCATTATGCTACATGAAAGAAGCCAGGCAGAAAAGATTGTATGCCATCTAATTCCATTTATATGACATTCTAGAACAGGTGAAACTATAGAGATAGAAATGAAATAAGTGGATGCCAACATAAAGGATGTTACTACAAAGCGGCACAATGCAATGTGGGGGAGGAGGGTGACAGCAATGCCCTATCATCATTGTGCTGGGGGTTGCGTGAGTCCAGGCATACTTTATTTTATTGCACTTCACAGATACCGCATTTTTTACAAATCAAAGGTTTGTGGCAACCTTGCGTCATGCAAGTCTACAGCATCAGCTTTCCAAAAGCATGTGCTCACTTTGTGTCCTGTGTTACATTTTGGTGATTATTGCAATATTTCAAACTTTTTCATGATTATTGTATCAGTTATGGTGAGTTGTGATTGGTGGTCTTTGATGTTACTATTATAATTGTTTTGGGGCACCATAAAGTGTGCCCTTATAAGACAGCAAACTTAATTAGTAAATGTTGTGTGTGTTCTGACTGCTCCACGGGCTGCTCTCCATCTCTCTCTGTCTCCTTAGGCCTCCTTAACGACATAAAAATTCCCTGAGACATAACAATACGAAAATTAGACCAAAAAAAATAACCCTACAAAGGCCTCCAAGTGTTCAAGTGAAAAGAAGAGTTGCACTTGAAATAAAAAACTAGAAATAATGAAGCTTACTGAGGAAGGCCAAGTTCAAGTCAAAAGACGAAATGAGCCAAAAGCTAGGCCTCTTGTAGCAAACATTTATCCAAGTTGTTAATGCAAAGGAAAAGTTCGTGAAGGAAATTTAAAGTGCTATTCTACTGAACTCATGAATGATGAGAAAGAAAACTGCCTTATTGCTGACATGGAGAAAGTTTGAGTAGTCTGAATAGAAGATCAATCCAGCCACAACATTCTCTTAAGCCAAAGCCTAATCCAGGGCAAGGCCCTAACTCTCTTCAATTCTATGAAGGCTGAGAAAGGTTAAGAAAGTTGCAGCAGAAAAGTTGGAGGTTAGCAGTGGTTGGGTCATAAGGTTTAGGGAAATAAGCCATCTCCATCACATCAAAGTGCAATGCGAAGCAGCAAGTGCTGATGCAGAAGGTGCAGTGAGTTACCCAGAAGATTTAGCCAAGATTATTGACAAAGGTGGCTACACTAAATAGCAGATTTTCAGTGTAGATGAAATAGCCTTCTTATAAAAGAAGATGCCATCTAGAACCTTCATGGCTCAAAAGGAGAAGTCAAGGCTTGGCTTCAAGGGTTCAAAGGACAGGCTGATTTTCTTGTTAGGGAATAATGCAGCTGGTGGTACTAAGTAGTGGCCGATGCTCATTGACCATTCTGAAAATCTTAGGGCCCTTAAGAATTATGCTAAATTTACTCTGCCTGTGCCCTATAAATAGAACAATAAAGCCTAGAAGACAACATATGTGTTTACAGCATGGGTCCTTGAATATTTTAAGCCCTCAGTTGGGACCTACTGCTCAGTAAAAAAGATTCTTTTCACAATATGACTCCTTACCAACAATGTACCTGGTCACCTAAGCGCTCTGATAGGGATGCACAAGGAGATTAATATTGTTTACATGTCTACTAATACAATAGCCATTCTGTAGCCCATGTATCAAAGAGTAATTTTGACTTTCAAGTCTTATTATTTAAGAAATACATTTAATAAGGCTACAGCTACCACAGAAAGTGATTCCTCTGATGAATCTGGGTAAAGTAAATTGAAGACCTTCTAGAAAGGATTCACCATTCTAGATGCCATTAATAACATTCTTGATTATGGGAGGAGGTCAAGAATATCAACACTAACAGGAGGAGGTCAGAATATCAACATTAAAGGGAGTTTAGAAAAAAGCTGATTTTGGGGGAAGTTGATCCCAACCCTCATGGATGACTTGGAGGGGTTCACGACCTCAGTGGGGAAAGTAACTGCAGATGGGATGAAAATAGCTAGAGAACTGGAATTAGAAACAGAGCCTGAAGAGGTGACTGAATTGCTGCAATCTCATCATAAAACTGTAATGCATAAGGAGTTCCTTCTTATGAATGGGCAAAGAAACTGGTTTTTTGAGATAGAATCTACTCCTGGTGAAGATGCTGTGAACATTGGTGTAATTACAGCAAAGGATTTAGAATATTACATACACTTAGTTGATAAAGGAATTGCAGGGTTTGAGAAGACTAATTTTCAAAGAAGTTCTACTGTGGGTAAAATGCTACTGAACGGCATTGCATGCTACAGAGAAATCTGTGATGAAAGGAAGAGTCTATCAATGTAGCAAGCTACATTGTCTTATTTTAAGAAATTGCCACAAGCCACCACAGCCTTCAGCAACCACCACCCTAATCAGTCATCTCCCATTAACATGGAGGTGAGACCCTCCATCAGCAAAAGGATTATAACTCACTGAGGGCCTAGATGATTATTAGCATTTTTTAGCTATAAAGTATTTTTAAATTAAGCTATATACATTGTTTTTTAGACATAATGCTACTGTATACTTAATAGTCTATATTATAGTGTAAATATAACTTTTATATCTACTGGAAAACCAAAAAAATCATGTGACTCACTTTGTGATATTTGCTTCATTGCCATGGTCTGGAACTGAACAAGCAGTCTCCAAGGTATGCCTTTATATGCATTTGTCAAAACTCTTAGGATTGTGTGCTCAAAATTGGTGAATTTTATTTCACATACATTATGTCTCAGAGTTGACACACAAAAAGGATGATGCTGACTATCTACTGGGAGTGAGGTTTGAAAGTTGGCTTCTAAATCAAAGAAGCAATTGGAGGCCTGTGGGAATGGATTATACCCTCTCCCCAGTTTGCAGCAGAAACCCTAAAACAGGACATTTTACGAACTCTGAGACGGCTGGGGTGGCTCAAGCCTGTAATCCCAGCACTTTGGGAGGCCGAGGCGGGTGGGTCACGAGGTCAAGAGATCGAGACCATCCTGGTCAACATGGTGAAACCCCGTCTCTACTAAAAATAAAAAAAAAAAAGAAGCCTGGCAATGACACCTGCTGGCTTTATCTATTTTCCCTGCTATTCCCATGAGCTGCAGGAAAGCATGGGTGACTTCTCAGACTGGTGGTGACCGTGAACCAATTTAAATATTTGACTTCATCCAAGTGACATGGCAATTATAGTTTTGAGACCAAATATAAATATTTTTAACATGGAAAATAAAAGAATAACAATATGCTCCATCTACCAATATTAAAGAATGCTCTTATTGTCATATTCCTTTTTTTTTTTAATTGAGACAGAGTCTCGCTTTGTCACCCAGGCTGGAGTGCAGTGGCATGATCTCAGCTTATTGCCACCTATTCCTCCTGGGTTCAAGCGATTCTCCTGCCTCAGCCTCTCTAGTAGCTGAGATTACAGGTGCCCACCACCATGCCCAGCTAATTTTTGTATTTTTAGGAGAGACAGGGTTTCGCCATGTTGGCCAGGCTGGTCTCAAACTCCTCAGGTGATCCACGTGCCTTGGCCTCCCAAAGTGCTGGGATTACAGGTATGAGCCACCGCACCCAGCCCGTATCGTCACCTTTGATAGCAGGTCAACCAACAATACTTATAGCTGAAACATGTAGCTTTCAAAACACATGACAAAATGACCTCTGTTAACATTTTTCATAATCCCTTTTCTTAAGCTCAAAGGGATCTTTGAGAAAATGGAAATAAATCTCTGTTACGGTAGAAATTGCTCACCAATTCATTTAGCGTCTTTACGGTTTAGTTTTCTTCTGCTAAATTAAGTAAAATGAAATTTATACTTAACAAAAATTTAAAGAGCAATTGTATTAGAATTCTATCAGCCAGGAACAATGGCTCATGCCTGTCATCCCAGCACTTTGGGAGGCTGAAGTGGGCAGATTACATGAGGTCAGGAGTTTGAGACGAGCCTGGCCAAGATGGTGAAACCCTGTCTCTTCTAAACATACAAAAATTAGCCGGGAATGGTGGCACATGCTTATAGTCTCAGCTATTTGGGAGGCTGAGGCAGAAGAATCACTTGAACCCAGGAGGCAGAGATTGCAGTGAACCGAGGTTGTATCACTGTACTCTAGCCTGAGTGACAGAGTGAGACTCCATCTCAAAAAAGAAGAAAAAGAATTCTATCTACTGACATACCTTATTTCATAATATTTAAGACACCAGTGCTTGTGAGATGTACCAGTATTTTATGTAGCACTAAGAAAGAAGAATCACTGCCAATTTAACAAGGATATAATGCAAAGACGCCATGGACTATAAGATATATGCTAATTTCAAAGATATCGAAAATGTGAAGAAAAAGTATGACTTAGAATCAATAAAATATATACTGATCCATCCATCCAGACATATTCATATAGAAAGCTTCCTGGAATAAGGTCACCTATGTCTAATAATGGTTATTTCTCAGAGGGAGAATCTAGGGTCATTTAAAAACATTTTTCTATTTAAAAAAAGATAGAATTACAACAACAAATGAATTGTTTTTTATTCAAGAAAAAAAATGACCAGAAGTAAGTATGCCAAGATGTTAATAGATAATTCTGGGTGTGGCACTTATAGATGACTTTATTTCTTCTTTGTTCATTTCTGAATTTTAAAAGAACCTTCAAAATAAAAAAAAAATCTAAACAAAGCAAGCAAATATTCATAAAAAACTGGGACAGACATCCTTCAATGAAGGACTTTTTTATTGGCAGAAACTCCTCTGAGGGTGATCAATGGTCCCAGTTTGCCCGGGACTGTTCTGGTTTTAGCACTACATCCCTGCTCCTGGGAGGGCTGGCCACCCTCCTCCTTATGGTTCAAATGACTGTGGTGATGCATCAGGAAAGCCACTTTTGATTCTAGGTCAAGAGTAATAAGGTTTTTTTTAGTGTGCCTCAGAATCCTCCAAGAAACTTGTAAAATAAGCAGATTCCTGGGTCCCAAGCCTGGAGATTCTGTTCTGGGAAGTCTGGGGTGAAGCTTAGGAGAGGGCATTTTTAAGCATCCCAGGTAATTCTCAAGCCTTGGCCTGCTTCAGAGATCCTTCAGCATGTCTTCCTGGCTTCCTCCTTCACCTCCTTCCCCCTGCATTTCCGGGGTCACCCGAAACCCTCTCTAAGCATTTGTGCCACGGGGAGCCTCCTGCTGTGTGTTTACTGCCAGCCTTCTGCCTGGAGGGCTGCCACCTCTCCAAGCTCACAGCACAGAAAAAGTGATGGGAGGAACTCAACAGACCTCATGCCCTCCTGCCAGGAAAACACTGGTAGCTCAACTCAGACCTAAATTCACATGAGTTGAAGATTCCCTATGAGCACTCATTCTTCCAAAAGAAAGTTTAAGCCAGTGAAATACAGGAATGAAAACAGCCCTTCCATTCTACAAAAATGACACACAGATCTCTCCAATTCTTCCTCATTCCTCACTTACGTTCTACCATCCTCAAACACCATCTGTAGCAAATATTATCCTGGAAATTAAAAAAAGACCTATTACCCCATCCTATACATTTACTTCCATATGAACATAAGTCTGAGGTGTTAATTCTCTCTTCTGGACACAATTCAAAAGAAAGTAGGTTTCTTCAGTGTATCTATTTGGTCCAATTACTTCTAAAATATGGCACAGTGCTTTATGTCAGCTGTTTTTCATTAATATGTGCACCAGGATCCCATTTTTGGTGGCTCTCGGCCCAGTGCTTCTCAAACTTCAATGTGCCTAAGAGTCACCCGGGGATCTTGTGAAAATGCAGGTTCTGATTCAGCAGGACTGGAATGGGACTTGAGATTCCGAGTTTCTAACAAGTTCCCACGTGAGGCACAGGCTGCTGGTTCCTGGACCACACAAGAGTGGCAAGGGTACTTGACAGGTCAAAGTTTGG